AAAAAAAAAAAAAAAAAAAAAAAAAAAAAAAAAAAAAAAAAAAAATAAAAACAATTTATCTCCCTATATGTATGCATGCATTATATAAATAAATATATTATTTATATAGAATAAAAGCTGCCTATACACCTGAATATAAGATTAAAATACAATATATATTTGTGTGTATATTTACGGTGTACGTACAAGAAGATTCGCATATAAATAGATTTGTATTTTTTGTTGCTTTTCTTCTTCCTTTATGCCCAGCAGTAAGCAAAAGAGAGGCAATATGCCCAACTGTACCTACACCTAATGTATTTATTCGTATATAAGGAGATAATAGGCTTATTATATCATAGAGGGCAAGACCTAAACAGCAGCAGCAGCAGCAGCAGCAGCAATAGCAGCACACAGAGGCGAAACATGAGTAGCAGCAGCAGCAGCAGCAGCACACACGGAGGAAGCAGCAGCAGCATATACACTGTCGTCTACGCAGCAGCAACTGCAGCACAAAGGAGATGCAGCAGCAGGGAAGGAAGCAACAGTAGATAAACAAAATAAATAAATAAATAAATAAATAAATAAATAAATAAATAAATAACGCATGCATGCATATAAATAAAAAAAGCCCCAAACTAACCTGCTGTTAAAGAACCTCCTCTGCTGTTAATAATAAGCTCTACAGATTCTGTATCCGTGCTGCTGCTGCTGCTGTTGCTGTTGCTGTTGCTGTTGCTGCTGCTGCTGCTGTTAACTCCCCCAGCAGCAGCAGCAGCAGCAGCAGGAGAGGTATATGATTTATTTTTATTTAATTCTTTTTTATTTTTTTTTGCTTCTCCTTTTAATAAAAAAAGTTGTGCAGCAGCAGTAGCAGCAATTTCTTCTGTTATAGGTCCCCATATAAATATTTTTTTTTTATAATTAAATAAATGACTAAATATATCTACACCACTGCGTATTATTGTTGGTATTATTACCTGTATATACACCCCAAATATATACACAAAAAAAAAAAAAAAAAAAATTTT